AGCTGTTCCCTTATGCAGTTTATTGATGTGTTGAAATGGCCAGCTAACCAAATGCACAATGTTTGCCTAATACCCGATTTGTTTGGAGTCTGTAGTAGCACGTAATTAGTTGGCTCATTACAGAGCGAAGCTGTTGGATTCGATAAACAGATATTTGGGGGAATAAACATTAGTTTGGATTGTGTTTCGAAAGAGATTCTAATTTCGATGTTTCGATAGATACCCGGTAGTGAGGAAAGCTTTTTGGAATTAGGGTTTGATAATAATATAATAAAATTTCTAAATTTTAATTTAATAAAAAACTCTCTTATCAAACTCTCTTTTCGTACTTCCTACATATAGCGAAACATGATATTTGGCTCTCTAAAATTCCCAAGTACGAATTTAGGTCTCTATAAAATTACTTCTGATGAGAATTTCTATTTATATATCTCGAATTTAATGGATTAAACCAACCGTCTAAAGACTTGGCATCAGCAAAAAATAACCAACCAAACTTTTTTTGGTATTTTAAGTTGAGAACTTCCATTGAGATCTTATTTTTTCCCTAGTAAAGCACCGTGCGAAATGGCCAAATCGAATTGGCGACCCCAAAACTCTTTTTTTCCCCTTCGCTATCACCGCCATGACATCATCAGTGGCAGGCAGTAGTAGCTTCACCATCATCATCATCATCATGGACTTTGACTGCTGATGGTTTCAGTTTGGTTTCGGTTTCGCAGTTTTTTCCTTTGTCTGTTCTGTGCCCTCTCTCTCTCTCTGTTATTATTCCCGGCTTTTTGGCGGGGGCCAACTGCTAATGACAATGTGTGCGTGTGTGTATATGTGAGCCGAAATCAATTTGATTCCTCCATTGGTAATGGCAACTCATGAGCGGCTGCCATTTCCATAACGGTGACAGGAAATCGGCTTACAATTTTCCCAACGCGCCAACTTTTATACAAATTTCGGTCTCAGCGATATTTCAGTTTTTCAGTTTTTGCATGCCAGAAACGCCACGCCCTCATACCAAAAAATGTTGGCAATAAATCTTTGGAATTACCGCATGCAAATTGATTTGTTGCTCTCACCCTGAATCAAATGCAAACTGCAGTTTGCCTTTTCGTAGGCATCTGAGAGGAATGGCGGCGAAACACACATAAATAAATTGTAATTTGCCAATTGTGTGTGTAAAAGTTATTAGCGATAACTCGTTCCCTGACACTGCCTTTGTGTGTGGCCCCTTGTATCGATGGCTTACTGTACCCGGAAACGGACTACGCTGCTACGTGTTCCCCGGCCAGTCCTGCCCCTGGCCCTGCCCCCCTTGTGGCATTTGGTTATTAGTCATAAAGCTGCAATGGGATTGCCAACTGGACAACTTTGTTAATGATACATGGTTGACCAAGTTTGGATTTGTTGCCGCTTGGCCTGCCCGTGCTGTTTGTGCGGCGTCAAGTTGATAAGTTGCCAGAGCAACTTGCCTGTTTGAGGATCAAATAATTTGTTTACAAACTGCCTTGCATATGGAAAGTTTGCTCCGCAGTTTCCCCAAGGCCGACTTGGATGTCTGAACGGGATGAAAAGTGGGTCAGGCCCACAGGCGGAATAAGTGCGGCAAGGGTTTGTTAGCAAGACGTGGGAGTAAGGAGACGCCTAATCCGGGGACAAGAAAATGTTCTCCATTAATTAGGTGGCCTTTTCTGGCGACGAAAGGAGCAAAGACTGAGTCGGTTTATCAGACATCTTGAAATATTTCTTTGACATATTAAAGGAACTTGTAATTGAATAGATACTGAGTGTAAAGCGTTAAAGAAATATAATCCCTGTTGAAAATAATACAAATCTCGAAATTTGTAGTAGGAATTTCTCTCTAATTTTTGCTTTTAAATATAACAATAAAATAAGGAATACATTTGAAATTTAACAAACTTTGAAAGCTGATCTAGAGGGTTATATATATTATTTTTCTCACAAGTTATATTTCTACAAACTTATGACAAAATCTGTATACAAAAACTTCCCAAAAACCTCCTGCTTCATCATACCTGTACATATCTCCCAGTGTGTTAAATCGTCGATGACATTTTGTCAGCCGCAGAGCATCCTTCTGGCAAGAGCATTTGAGCCAGTAATTAGCCAGGACTGCAAATGACTCCTTTAGAGCCCAGGACGAGAACTCTCATTCTGGTGTGAGGCGGGGGAGAGGCGTTCGTGTTTGCACTTTCGTGTTGTTGCGCTTTTTAGTCCCTTTCAGTCTGGCACTTTGAAAATCCGTATCCGTGGAAGGGTTCTCCGCCGCCTCCGCCTCCTCCACATCCGATCCACTCCGCATTTATTTAATATTTTAATTAAATTATTCCCGTGCATGTGCAGTTGGTTTGCCGGGGCGTCTAATGGCCCAACTTCATGGCGTACAAAGTATTTACATGCAAATGCCGTCAACGTGTTACGGCCTGTGACCCTCCCGGATCCGTGCTCCGTGTTCCCTGTTCCGGTTCTTGGCAGGAATTCGAGCCGGAAACCTGGAGCCCGAGCCGAGACCTGGACTCGAGATGGAGCCATTACCACCCGCACTTAACGTTAATTAAACTGCTGTGTGTGCTAAAATGTCTCTTTTCCATATGTGTGCGGATATCCCCTGCTCCGACCCTGGAATTCAGGCCCTCTCTTCCACCCAATTCTCCTCCTCCTCCTCCCAGCTTGGCAGCTGCTGTCGTTTTAATAGCTTAATGTAGTTACTTCCACTTTGAGTGTCTCCTGTGCCGGGCAGAGAGAGAGAGAGAGGAGAGAGTGGGAGCATGGAGCAAATGTGTCTTTGCTAATAAAAAACACAACACTCAGCAAAATTGTTATGCAGCAAACTAAATCAACAGACACCCATGTACCGCCCACTTTTCCATTTTCCCCCCAGACCCCTTTTCCCGTACGTACGTACGTACGTACGGACAAATTACAAAGCTATGACGGGAAAAAAGTGAGGCAGGACATGGAGAAGCAGATGGCACGGAGGTGAAGAAAGGCGGGAACCCGTGTAAGCCACACTTACAACACACGGCTCCATGTGCCATTTTGGGGTGCGCTTACTTACAGCACTCACTGTGGCCACGATAGTGAGGATGGGCTGGATGGGCTGCATGCGTTGCAGCAAGGTCTTTGGCAGTCCTAGTCCTATTCTCGGGATGTGTGTGTGTGAGCAAAAAAGGCGATATCTAACAAAGTTTAACTCGTTTTATGTCGAGCTCCCAGCAAAAAAAAACAGCTATCAGGGGTAGTCCTGACTTCTGGTTAGAGATCAAAGATATAGATTTTACTTTCTTTTATTTCTGTTCTTCAATCTCGTCAAATTGTAATAAATATTTTGGAGAAGTTCATTTAATATTATAAAAATGGTTTCCAAAAATTGTTTCTATAAAGCTCCAACATATTTTTTATAAATTTAATCATGTTCAAAGTCAAATATATAAAGTTTTCTAGGTCAGGTATATTTATAAAACTATTAGTAATATATTTGATGTGTTCTAAGGGTTCTGAAAACCAAATAACATACCAAAGCTGAACAGTGTCTGTTGAAATATTTATAATTAAAACTCCCAGATACATTTTTCCCACTTCCATAAGAGTTCCTTCTACAACAGTTACAGGATATCCCTATAGCTCATCATTCTCAAATTGCACTTTCCTGGCTGCCTACTGCATTCAGTCAGCCGAATATGTTGGCTCAGTTTGGCACACAAAACGACGCAGCAGCAACAGCAGCAGCAGCTTTTCCGCATGCAGCTGCAGCTGGCAACCGAAAAGTGGAAAGTGGGTGTAGTTTTGGGCCATGAATGGGCGAAATGAAGAATGTGAATGTGAGCCTTCCGACTGCTGGCAGGATTAGCCTGGACATGCCTGAATAATGTCTTTATTAGTGGCCAAAAAAGGAGCAATCCCGGTCGTCTGTCTCCGTTGTTTTCTGTCTATTTTTTTGCTGTTATTTCTGCTGCTGCTCCTGGTTTCCCATGCGTCGCACAGTCGCGCCTTTTCTCATTTAGCGTTGCAAAAATCATATCTTTTGAACCAAATAAGGTAATCGAATAATTTAAACGGCATTGGACAGGTAATTCTTGTAAAATATATATATGTACTGCATGAAGTACCACGCCCACAAATACGCCTTTTTAAAGGGTATCAAAGTGAAAAAATAATTTTTTTTCAATGAAAACCATTTTTAAACAAAAATTTTTATTTAATTTTTTATGTTTATTTTTATGTATTTGCTCAAATAAAAATAATTTGAAAACTGAAAAAAAATTTTTTTTTTAATTCGAAGTGTAACCGCCACGCGCTACAGTTAGTATATTTCTTGAAATGTATGAAATTGTGTCGGTATTTTGGTATATTTTACCCTGAGTTGTTTTGGTTTTTTGCGTTGCATTTCCGCAGACGCAGCTCGACGCAGCCGATGAAAGTTAATTCTGATCCAGGAAAGATCCACGGAACTTGTAGTCATAGTGTAGTCAGTGGCCGGCATTGGCGTCAAAAGATATAGACTACTTTAGGCAGAAAAAGGTGAAAAAAATGGACACCTGGCAGGTAGCGATTTACCTGTAGAAGCCCAAACCAAAGTGTCGTTTTTTTTAGGTTCTTTAATAGTTTATGAATGTATCTATCATTTAAAGTAAAAACCATGACCATTGGTTTTATGGTTTTTTTGTAATATTACCTGAAAGTCGACAATTTACACATTTTTTTTTGTATGATGCAAAAATCGAAACAAAGTTCAACTTTAAATGCTCATAACTTCTACATAAAAAAATCTTAAAATTGATTTTATTGCAGATTCTGAATCCTTGTTAAATTTCCTGTCGAATAAGTATGGTTAAAATCGTTTTTGCGAACATGACTTTTTTGATTTTTGCAACGCTAATTGTTCGAGAGGCGCTACTGTGCGTCGGCGGGGTTTTGATTTCATTAATTAGTCGCCTACGTGATGGCAAGCATAACTAACCGACCGACCGCTCTCTGATTTCTTACAGTCTGCGCTAAAAGAAGATGGCCCAACCACAGCTGCTGCAAGTGAAATTGTCACGTTTCGATGCCCAGCCCTGGGGATTCCGCCTGCAGGGTGGCACGGATTTTGCCCAGCCCCTGCTGGTGCAGAAGGTAAGTGAACAAAAGTTCCCTGAACTATATAGTAATTTAAGCTACAGCAAAAATTTAATTCGATTGACAACAACAAATGGAAAATGTTTGGAAACACTCTCGCCGCCACCGCCAAAAATGGAAATTAAACATGAAAAGCGAATATTAGTTGGGCAGTTAATTTATTTATGTGTTTAAGTGCTCGCTCGCTTTTTTCTATATTATTTCTATATTTCCATATTTTTTTTTTTGTTTGTTAAAAATAAATCCGTGGATATAAGTTTCACTTTTTGTGGTCGTCGTTTCCGTGCGATTTTTGCGCACGTTACCCAAAAGCAAATAAAACCGTATTTTTCCCAATTTTCAACAAATTTCCTCTCGCAATATTAATGCGAACAGACACAGCCACACAAACCCACACAAGTGAACAGAGAGACAGACAAACAGACAGACGGACGGACTAAAAACCCAACTAAAAATTTGTTAAACATTCATAACAGATCTCGAAACATTTTACATTTGTGGCGACACGCAACAGCAAATTTTTGCTAAATCATTTTGACAACTTTATGAGCACTTGCGGCGCGAAAACGTCGAAGGAATAAATGTACATACATATATCCTACGTGGTTTTCATATTGACAGTGCAGTGCGCGCCACCAGTGTAAGGCTGTAACTAATTAATGGCCATTTAATGGATGCAGTTTTCATTTGGCTGAAAGAGAATATATTTATAAATATATTTGCCTTTGCCCAGAACTGTACCATTTTCTATCTAATCTAATTGCTGATAATATCGCCAGCGAAAACACAAACATTTCCAACAATTCTCGTAAACATGAGCTAACTTTTTTAGTTAATCACAGTCTCTCTCTCACTGAGGCCTTGAAATTCCTGTGATATAATGAGAGTATAGTGCACTCTGAATCATATATATATAGAAGCCCGATCCAGTGCACAACTGACGGGAGCCACAACAATTTCGTTTATGACTCAAGCTCGCTGCGATAAGAACCTTTGTTCGAGGGAGAGTCTAATCAGAAGTCGAAAGTCGGGAGAATATCTATATGGGGTTCGTCAATAAAGAGAATTGCCTGATTGTTACTGAAGCTATTGCTGAAATAATTCCGAATTATTGATTTAGATTCGGTAATGTCCCCTGCTCTCATTCTCATATTCTAGGAGCTCCCCTCCAAAAAACACACAATCTGTAAATATTTCTGTTCGTTCCGAAATAACACAAATTCTGTGCGAGCTTTTTCTCTGTTTGTTTTTGGCTTTTTGAGGGGTCGGTGGGCGGCGGTTGGTGGTGGTGGGCGTGGCCAGCGCTAAATGCGCAATTTCTATTTAAACAGCTGTGGATTTTTGTGTCAATGCTATGCGGCATTTCTGAGCTGCTGCGCTGCACTGAGCTATTTAAAAACAAAACAAACAAAAAACACAAGAAAATAAAACACGGACAACTGAATGCGGATTATTATGGAATTGAGCCATTTCGATTAATTTAAAATGGGATAAATTAAAGCGCTTCTGCCAATTAGCACGCTCCTCTCGTCCCTGTCATTTTGGCCACTAAACAACATTGTTGGCTCAAAAGTGCAACAGGAGGACCAGCCAGCCAGACCAGCCAGACCAGCATTTAATGGGGGTGAAAAACTGTCGGAACAAATTTGTGTTTGGAATTTATGCGAAAATCACAGAGCATGCATAACGCAATTTGTGCAATTTGAAATGGAAATATTTATGGATTACACCAGGAAAAACAAAGCCGGACAAATTCCAATCGTTTTCGTTAGCCACGGTGTTTTTTTGTGTCCACAAATCCACCAGTCCAACCTGAGAGACGAGTGATCTCTGCCTGCCCGCCGGCAGTGCGACATCTCCTGGCTGGCTTGCCTGACTGTCTTTTGCCTTTCGAACACTTCAAGCCCAATTGAATTTCGAATGGCGCACTTAAGCCGCATCTTACCTCGCAGGATACTGCGTAAAAACTTTGCTCGTAATGAGCCACACGGAAAGAAAATTCTAAGGAACGTCTTACTGGTAAAAAATGTAAGCAAGTCATACAAAATTGTATAACTAAAGTATTCTTCCCCTTTAAAAATACCTTCAATATTTTCTCTGAGTGCTCTAGCTGAGCTCCTTGGTTGCCAGGACACAAGCTTCGCTCTTTTGCTCTGCTGCGGAACTAAACCCCAACGAACTCAACTGAACTCCGGCACTCAGCCCGACTCGAGGACTCTCCTACCTTGACAACAAATCGTCATCTCAGTCATCGTCAGCATCCAATCATGTCACTGCCCTGGCTCTTCACCCTTGAGCCACAGCCAAACAAATTGGTGCTCTTTAAATGCTGCCGCAGCAGTAGCTCGGCTCATCAAGATGCAACACATGACATGGGCAGAAATAAGTCACCCACTTCCGTCAAATAACAAAAGCTCCAAGGTTTGGGGGGCGGGCATAAAAATAAGCTACTGAGCTGCTTAAATCGGATTAATTTATGATTTCTCGCTGCGAGCTTCAGTTTGGTTCTCGAATGAAGTCCTTTTCCTGTTGCTTCCGCTGATGCTCTGTGTCCTACGTCCTGTGTCCTGTGTGTGTTATAAGCTTTATGCCCACGGATTTTCACCCACTCTCTCGCCCACAGAAGCCACGTTTGTATTTCATTATCAAGTCCAGAGTTCGTTTTGGGCCACAAAAAGCGTCGCACAAAAGGCCAAAGTCAAATAAAAGCGAAAGCCATGCTCTGGACAAATAATGGACCAAATAAGTAATACAAGAGCGCAAATTCGGTTTACTACAAATTTCTGGCTTTCTGGCTGGCCATACGCCGTGTATCAAGGCGAAAAAAAAGGGAAACCGAAAATAAAAGCATCAGTGTCGGCTATTAGCCAACTTAAAGTCTAGACAAACTCAGGAGGGGGCGTGGCACAGCCAGAGCTCTGGAGAGGACAGTATGCATAACAAGCTACTGACGGCATCCAAGGCAACCGACGTAGTCGACCAGACCCACACACATGATCCTCCACCATTCCAGACCTGGTGCTTCTCCCACTGAACTCCGCGTTCTGTTCATGCAAATCAGCTTGGCGGGGTTTTTTCCACTGCCCTTTCAAAAGGAATGTGTACTCTGAAGAAGGGTTTAATTTCTTCTAAATAAAAGTATATGATTTCATCTTTGATCAAGATAAGTATTGGTTTTAAGTGGTGTTTAGACGTATCTATACAATATTTGTTTTTATGAGCTTTTTACTAAACCCTTTCAGCATTTTAAAGATAATCCTCGAACCCAGAAGATCTACTATTTTTTATATTCTAGTTGATAAAATCCCACTTAACTTTTATTTACAAAGAAAGTGCATTTGAAACTTTACTTTCAAGTGGAAATACTCTCTTTTGGATATTTTTTCTGCCAGCTACGCTTCGTTTCGGTTCAGTTTCGGCTGTGTTTTTGCTCGTTTTAAGCTTGTTTGTTTGCCTTCCCGGGTTGGCCATTAATTATTTGACTCCTGTCTGGGGGCAGCCTTTGTGTTGGTGCCCGTGTTTGTCTTTGTCTTTGCCCCAAACTATGCAAAAATTTCATAATTCGCACTCCGTTCCTTCGCCACTTGCGGGTGTATTAGTACATCCCTAAGTTTACCACCCTCGCTTTTGAGCCAGGATATCAACTGGTTACGTGGTACCCCTAAGAGCCCTGAATCCGCCACGTCTGTTTCTGATTTATGCGAGCCCAATTATGGACGCAAATTTCGTTTGCTTTGATTTCGGGCTTTTGTGTAATTGAATCTGGCAGAGAAGACACACCCGGCTGTGGTCTCGACTCTCGATTGTTGATTGAACTTGCACTTTTATCGACCCAACCACATGTCAACAGACAGGAGGGGCCAGTGGAGGAGGAGGAGAAGGCATACTTCAAGACATCTCCGGCTGTGGTTGCTCTCAATTCACTCGGACATTTTATTAATTGCACAATGGCTCAAGAGCCACTACGACTGGCTAGCTGACTGCCTCGTTCTTGACACGAAAACTACATTTGCTCACCTGCCAGGAAACTTACAATTGTTGTTCTCAATTTGCCTTGCGGTTTTCCCCAATGAATGCTGCTGATTATGGACACAAGCCACACCTGATCCACCGGCTTTTGACTTGAGTCCGATGGCTAATTCCACACCAATTGCCAGAGCGGTGGCGTTAATTGAATTAATAAAGAGGAGGCCGCGCGGAGCAAACATCTCTCGGTGCTGTGCAATGCAATGCTGATTTCAAGTGATTCATCTCTGTCAGTCGCAAAAAGGCGTAATTGATAAAAGTTAAGCCAGCGAAACAAAAAGGATAACCAGACAGTGATTAAGTGCCTGGCCGCGTCAGCGCCGCATTTGATTGATTATCAATTTTACCGGAGGCACCGCTTTAACGTACGACTCCTGGACTGGCCCATGTCCATGGATGTGGATATGGTTATATGGAATGCATGCCACTGCATTGCATTGCCAATTTAAGAGTGTTGAAATTTATTGAACAGTCCCCTCCAGTCCGCAGTCCACCGCCCGTTGCATCTTCTCCTCTGACTCGTCGGTTTCCACATCCTCTTCCGCTCTAGGGAATCGAGTGGCGCTTCCGTTTTGTTTTAAGCCAGTCCCAAAGCGTATGCACTCGTGAGTTTACTTCTGGGGTTCTTGGCTATACATTTATGAGGTTACTAAAATGTAAGTAAATTAGATTTGAATTTAAATGTTTCTTAAAGAATTTAGAGATTTCCAAGCATATAAATTTGCACTATAAAACTGTGTACTCCTTAGCAACTCTTTTGAATTCGTGCCTGGAATTCGCATATGCATCCAACCTTCTCCTCTCACGCGCTCATCTCTCGTGCGGTCAGGTAGCTGGGGCTATCTTTAGTCGCTTTAAGTTCACTTGCACTTCATTGCACAAATTCTCTGGCTGCTGCTGCTGCTGCTGCTGCTACTATGTACTTCTGGTTCTGGTTTTGCTGAGAAGAGCAAGTATAGGAGGAGGAGACC